TAAAAAAAATATATATATATATATATATATATATATATATATATATATATATATATATATATATATATATATACACACACAATGTTTTTTTCACATACATTACTTAACAAATGTAAAAAAAAAGAATGGAATAATTTTTTTATGTAACGTTTATATTGCATTTTTATAAAGTGTTCACAAATTACTTGTCTTTATGCATTTGAATTAATAATGTATTATTTTATTGTTACATTTGACTACCATTAAAAAAGCTGTTTGTTTATAATGACTATATATTTGTCAACTTTAAAGGTGATACTAATGATTTTTCTTATTTTCTTACATTTATATATATTTTCAACATTCATTAAATGAGCAGTTTTAAATATCTATTATAGTTTCAACAGATTCTTTTTTTCATTATATATATATATATATATATATATGAATTATATATATATATATTTATGAATTTTATATATATATATATATATATATATATTTATGAATTATATATATATTTAGTCACACTCCAATTCCTCCATAGCTCCACATTAACATCAACGTCTTTGAGAACATAAGCATCTAAGTGGCACTGTGTGACAAACACAAGATTATTGATGGGATTTTGCTATATTTCGTTAATGGTGTTTGCACAAAGTGACATTTAAATTGTAATGCATCTTCAGATGAGTGGCCAGACCAAGATCTAGGCTGGGAGCATTTACCATGACCAGTGGAACAAGCTCTTAACCTCTACAAGGAAACAATCAGTGCGTAGGTGTTTAGATATGACCTTTGACCTGTAGAAGAATCATCTATCTGCCTCTGGTCTGATAACTCGGAGCCTGTAGATTATCTCAGAATGCTACTTTAGAGCTGATGGAGCTAGGACAGGAGATCCACACCAGCTGTCTTCATGACAATGTGGCTCCCTCGTTGGGTCGGGTCGCTTTTGATGGGCGCCCATCCTGAGGATGTCTGACAAGGAGGATGCAGTTGGTCTGTGTTATTATTAGCCGGTCCCTGACTTTAAGGGATCAATGTGACCCGACAGGAGTGTTTCGCATACATTCAAGACTTCAAGTGTAGACTAACAGGAGGAAGGAAAGAGCAGGATGAAGCAGAAATTATATATTTTTTAGGGGTGGTGGATTTAAAAGAAAAAAATAACTAAATGTATGACTAATAACCGGCAAAATCAATTAATTAACAGACAAAATGGGGCAAAAAAGACAAAAAAATTCTTGTCATTCTCCCACAACATGAAATTTTTTATGTACACTACTGTTTAAAAGTTTGGGCAGAAGTATACATTTTTGGGGGGGGGGGGGGGGGGGGGGGGCCTTCAGGCTTCCATGAGACAGATCCAGAAGCGTTGTGTTTATTCACAGAGTGGGAATGGCACAGGAAGCTGCCAACAGGACCTTGAAACAGTTGCTGCGCGATCCCTGCGTTTCTATAGGAGGAAATGGGGAGTGTGGGCGTGGGCCTTCCAGAGGCCACTTCCAGTCTGGTGCTTTGAGGTAATGCACATAGTCAAAGAGAAACTCACATAATCCATCCATCAGAAGAATGACTAGTCCACAGTGCTCAGAGAAATGATTGGTCAGTTACAGAATGTTTCTGCTATGATGAGTTGAACTCAGTCGACATCTTTTCAATAAAATCACTGAAAATTAATGATTTTTTCCATAGATTTGATTTAATCAATGCAAATCACACAATGGCAGTAAGATTGTTAAAGCATTTACTTTAATTACGTAGTATGAACTAAAAAAAACTATTTTGAGCTGTAAAGTTGTCTAAATTGTCATTTCTGAAGTGGGAATATTTTTCTATCAACTATAGAAATATATACACTACCATACCATTCATAAGTTTGGGGTCATGATGATTTTTAATTAATGTATTCAGATGCATTAAATTAGTGAAAAGTGACAGTAAAGACATTTATAATGTTACAAAAAAATTACATTTCACATAAATGATGCTCTTTTGAACATCAGAGAATCCTGAAAAAAGTTCCACGCTTACGCTGCTCAGGTGTATTCAAAATACAATAATACAGTAATAAGTTATGTGATAAAATAATAAAAATAGAGTATAATAAATGTTCTATTCAGCACCAAATCAGCATATTAGAATGATTTCTGAAAACACTGAAAACTGGAGTAATGACTGCTGAAAATTCAGCTTTGCTATCACAGGAATAAGCTGCGTTTTAAACTGTATATGCATTTTATTATATATAAAATTATTTGCTATTTTGAGATAAAAATATTACTGTTTTTTACTGTATGTTTGATCAAATAAATGCAGCCTTAGCGAACTGGACATTTTTAGTGAGATGCATCCATATGACAATTAACGATTATGAAAAAAATTGTTTATGATATAATAGTTAATTAATTTTATGATTAATGTATTTTAGAAATATGAAAAAGGTAGACGTGGTGTGGCATCCTGGTTCCCCTTGGGACAACATTATAGAGAGGAAGGGAGGGTGATGGAGGGATGACAGAGGAATTGTCGGAATGATTGGGTAAGCAGCTATTTATATACAGTAGTACCATTAGCTTTTCCATTGACATTCTAATTTACGGACAAGCACCTCCTGAATTATTGTTAGGAAGTTCACTCTGAAGCAATGCTGGTAGGTATAAAAGGGGTTTGTAATCACACACACATTTGGATTTAAGCCACATAGACCCTGGCATGGAAATATTTTCCTTTCCTTTCCCTTCATCACACGGGATGCATGTTTTACACATTCCACCTCTGGGAAATCTCTTTCTGTCCCCCAGTCAGTCTCTTTCTCAGAGTATCTGGATGCTCTGATTAGTTATCCCTAATCTGTATAGAATGCCAGTATCTAGTGATACACTCTAAAAAATGCTGGGTTAAATATGAAAAGGGACAAACCCAGCTATTGGGTTGTTTTGACCCAGCGGTTGGGATGTTTTGAACCCAACCGCTGGGTCAAAACAACCCAATAGCTGGGTTTGTCCCTTTTTAACCCAGCATTTTTTAGAGTGTACCTTGTTGTTTTTCATCTAGGGGATCCTTTGGCTCTTTCTATCTTTATTTAAAGCCAGCACATCCCCCACAGATGTCTCTCTCCCACTATGCCCTGACCCTGGATCTATGTGTGGAATTCTCTCTTCATTTATCTGTGTGGGCCTCGTCCTCTCCCATATCCTTTTATTTTTTCACAATCCTGATCCTGGTATGTTGCTTCCTAAATTACATCAGTATAACCCTCGACTGGCACACAATTGAGCAGATCTCTTTAAGGAATATAGCTCACCCAAAATTGAAAATTCATCACGCCATTCCAAACTTGTATGTTTTTTTTATTTTCTTCCATGAAACACAACAGGAGATGTAAATGAAAGGGACTGAATGGATAGATGAATTCCTGGTTTGGAAGTGAAAGTGGACCAGCAGATCATACTTGGAAATAAGCTAGGCCTACTGTATAGAATCCCGGGACAGACAGTGGCAAATTTAATTGTCAAAGTTATCAGATTAAATGTCACAACCTTCTTTGAGAAGCTGAATGTGTCAGCACAAATCTCTATAACATCAAATAACTGTGTTACTTATTATTTTTGGACACTCCTAATTGTTGATGTTTACATAGATATGTGTTTACTCTCGGTAGCAAATACTCTATTGCCAAATTAAAAATGCTGTTTTGTGATGTCATAACCAGCACTGCCCTCACCACTTTTTAGAACAAAAGATCTAATAATAAATGACTGAATGAAGATAATGCAAGAGAAACGCAGTGTGTGAAAGGACACTTTCAGGTGACTCCTGTGACACTCGTTTCCTGCACTTTCACGAGTTCACACTTAGGTTCATAAGTGAGTTCATAACTAAGGTTATGCGTATTTGGCGTGCTGTCCGGGGAGAGGGCTCCGATCTCGGTAATTCTCCAGCCCGGGGTAGGCTACTCCCTCTGTCCGGGGAGAGGTGTCCGAGCTCGGCTTTTAGCCCGGACCCAGAGCGCTCCTCCCCGTGCTGGGGTATTATCACTGAGCTGTCATCTGCAGAAGCTCTGTTTAAAACGGTCTGCACGTGTTGTTTGAACCAGAGTCGTAGAGAGAGAGAGATGCGAGTTGCGACAACTCCGTTCACTCCAATGGACCAGTTGTTGTTTTTATCACAGCGCATCGTGGAGCCGCTCAGTAGTTCCTGGAAGTTAGCGCTCATACTATCAGCGCCGTAGAGATGCAGCAGAAGAGACCGCTGTGACGAACTTTTAAAAGGTAAGGCATTTATAAAATACAATTGTATATTATAAGCACAGCTTATCAAATTACCTTGTGCATTAAAACAGTTTATTATAAGATTATTCCTCACTTAATTAGTCGATTTACGGGATGCTATTCATTCCCTTCATGCCGTTTCATCCATCGTTGTGTAATTAAGGCTTTTAAACTTGATTTTTTGCTGGTGGGGAGTTATTTAATAGACTTGGATTTATTGCAAAGGATGCTGATGGACCTAAGTGAGAATGAAAAGTTTAAAATAGGTGAGCAGTTGTCATTTCAGATTCATGCTAGGCTAAATTTCCAAAAATGTATTATATCCCATCACTATATAATAGAAGTAATCACAGTAAACCTGTACATTATTACTGTATTTTATACTTAAACATCTTGGCTACTATAGAAGTACTGTGTTGGAGGAGCAGATGCCACAGGACTGAAATGTGATGGAGCATCACTTAACCATTTCTCCTGTGTTTTTTCCCTTCTCTACCTTGCTTTCAGAACAAGAACCACCTGTAATGAGACATCACCCTCACAATGAGTCTCTTCACTGGGCTTTGCAAGTCTTTCCCTGTTCTTGTGTCTAGTATGATTACATCACATTTTGTTGGTGTAATCTATAGATTGCTCCTGCTGACTATATCCAGCCTCTTACGGAGACTTCAGATGACCCAACACCTGTGAAGAGATGACGCCAACCCTTGAGAGGACTTCAGATGAAGCTGACTCTGAATAAACATACAAAACTGCTACATTTTCCTTTCATTGTAATCAACATGATCACATGTAACCATTGCTTTAATTTGTTCATTGTTTCTGTATACATGACGTTACTTAACTGCATGATTTGTTTAGCCTAATTTTAGAACATTTCTGCCATATGAACATTACTTTGGCACAGTTACACCTGTTAACAGAACTCTTATTTGTAATGTAGAAACATTCATTTTCTGTAAAGCTGCTTTGAAACAATGTGTATAATAAAAAGTGTTATACAAATAAGTGAATTGAACCAAACTTGATGCATAATTTTTTTTCTCCTCTCCAGATCAGTAGGGAAACCATACATTCACACTCCTTTCTGTGAGTGGCTGGAGCATTCATAATGCAGCACAGCAAACTATGGTGGAGACTATACAAGTACAACATGCTTTTCAGTTTATTACACATGTATAAATCAATTGCTGTAAATAAGTGCATAACAAAAGCCAACATTATAACCAATAGAAATTACATTCATTTACAGTTGAAATCTACAGAGTCGGTGTCTCAGAGGATTAAAGGTTGTGTTTATATCTTGGAGACCTGAGTTCAAATCCAGCTGTTACTTACGGACAGTGGAATCTATGGTATGTTGGCAGCTTTAATTAATGCTGTAACTAAACATAACATCAAAAAGACCCCTGAAACAAACTTGCAAACAGCATTACAAACTCAATGGCTCAGGAGGTAAAACATTGCATTTTTAATCTTGGAGACCTGAGTTCGAATCCCACTATTGCTTGTGTTAAATTGTCATCATATAGCTAAATACATGTGCTTGGAAGTGAAGGCTGCGATCCAGACAAGGATTCAAATCCCACCTCAGCATGTCAAAATTTAACTGGTTTATTTCACAGGTGAGTGGTGAAATATAAGCTATTTAACACATTGAGACAAGAGATCTGTGGCTCACTGGTAAGAGTGCTACCTCACGGGTGAGAGGTTGCTGATTGAACAGTGAAATATAAGGGCAGGCAGGCAGGCAATTAAGCAATCAATCAATCAATCAATCTGTGGCTCGCTGGTAAGAGCACTAGTCTTGTGTTTTTGCATTTGCTGAGATCCCACTACAAAAAAAAAAAAACATTCATAATGGTGTGGTTTAAATGCGGGTCTTTGAAAAACAAAACTACAACACAGATGTTCAAATTTTACAAGTGCAATAAACTCTTTTCTGTTTTAACGATGTAAGCTACATTTTTCATCATATGACACAAGGTTCTCAAGAATATCAAGGTCAAAACAGTTGAAATCTACAGAGTCGGTGTCTCAGAGGATTAAAGGTTGTGTTTATATCTTGGAGACCTGAGTTCAAATCCAGCTGTTACTTACGGACAGTGGAATCTATGGTATGTTGGCAGCTTTAATTAATGCTGTAACTAAACATAACATCAAAAATACCCCTGAAACAAACTTACAAACTCAGTGGCTCAGGGGGTGAAACATCACATTTTTAATCTTGGAGACCTGAGTTCGAATCCCACTATTGCTTGTGTTAAATTGTCATCATATAGCTAAATACATGTGCTTGGAAGTGAAGGCTGCGATCCAGACAAGGATTCAAATCCCACCTCAGCATGTCAAAATTTAACTGGTTTATTTCACAGGTGAGTGGTTATATAACACATTGAGACAAGAGATCTGTGGCTCACTGGTAAGAGTGCTACCTCACGGGTGAGAGGTTGCTGGTTGAACAGTGAAATATAAGGGCAGGCAGGCAATCAAGCAATCAATCAATCAATCAATCAATCTGTGGCTCGCTGGTAAGAGCACTGCCTCATGGTTCAGAGGTTGCTGGTTTGATCCCAGCCAGATTCCTGTGACACGAAGGAGTGGGCATGAAATAGGAGAGACTTGGCCAAAGCTTTAACTGGTTTATTGCAAAATCACAGGTGAATAGTGAAATCTATGTTCCTTCACGCATCCAGATAAGAGATCTGTGGCTCACTGGTAAGAGCGCTGCCTCATGGTTCAGAGGTTGCTGGTTCAATCCCAGCCAGAGCTCTGCGATATGAGTGAGTGTTGTATGAATGAAGGGGTGAGGATGATTCGGGTCCCCCCCTGAGTCCCAGAGCGATGTCCAGCAGTGGTTATGCTTCTTGATATTAAAAAAAATATTTAGCTGTGACAATGGTGTCTATATTAATATTTATATTAAACAGATGTAGGAGATCAGATTCACCATCAGATGGCACTCAGATTGTGCTTTTTAAAAACCATACATCATATTTTTCATTTAGCCTACAATAGCCATTTATATTACAGAAAATAACCGGACACATTCTTTTATTCCAAAGATGTTAAAAGCAGATCCTTATAACCAAGATAAATATTTATTTAATGTATACGGTCTGTGTCATGTGATTTAAATTTCCATAAAAACACCTTTTTTGCTGATGATACAGCAGCATCTGAAATCTTTTTCTCTCATTTCACTTTTCACCATCAGGAAGATTTTGGTGAGGTTCTTTCTCTGTCACTGATGAGGAGGATGTGAAGCTCTGAGTCTATATCTGGAGCTCTGAGTCTGTATCTGGAGCTCTGAGTTTCTATCTGGAGCTCCGAGTCTCTATCTGGAGCTCCGAGTTTATTGTGTTTATATCTTGGAGACCTGAGTTCAAATCCAGCTGTTACTTACGGACAGTGGAATCTATGGTATGTTGGCAGCTTTAATTAATGCTGTAACTAAACATAACATCAAAAATACCCCTGAAACAAACTTACAAACTCAGTGGCTCAGGGGGTGAAACATCACATTTTTAATCTTGGAGACCTGAGTTCGAATCCCACTATTGCTTGTGTTAAATTGTCATCATATAGCTAAATACATGCGCTTGGAAGTGAAGGCTGCGATCCAGACAAGGATTCAAATCCCACCTCAGCATGTCAAAATTTAACTGGTTTATTTCACAGGTGAGTGGAGAAATATAAGTTATTTAACACATTGAGCCAAGAGATCTGTGGCTCACTGGTAAGAGTGCTACCTCACGGGTGAGAGGTTGCTGGTTCAATCTCAGCCAGAGTCCTGTGGTATGAAGGAGTGGGGGTGATTCAGGAAAGCCTCTGCTTAAGCTTTAACTGGTTTATTGTAAAATCACATGCAGGTGAACAGTGAAATATAAGGTCAAGCAAGCGATCTGTGGCTCACTGGTAAGAGCACTGCATCATGGTTCAGAGGTTGCTGGTTTGATCCCAGCCAGATTCCTGTGACATGAAGTAGCGGGGATGACATAGAAGAGACTTGGCCAAAGCTTTAACTGGTTTATTGCAAAATCACAGGTGAATAGTGAAATCTATGTTCCTTCACGCATCCAGATAAGAGATCTGTGGCTCACTGGTAAGAGTGCTGCCTCATGGTTCAGAGGTTGCTGGTTCAATCCCAGCCAGAGCTCTGCGATATGAGTGAGTGTTGTGTGAATGAAGGGGTGAGGATGATTCGGGTCCCCCCCTGAGTCCCAGAGCGATGTCCAGCAGGGGTTATGCTTCTTGATATTAAAAATTTATAGCAGCTGTATAAAAATGTTGAACCTCTGTCCCTTCCCCACCCGTTTAGGTTACCATCTTGTTTTATTAATATCACTCTCCATTTTTTATGTTTGTCACTAAAATCAAGCCTAAACTATAAAACTGACCTGAGATCAGTTAAAACACAGAAATATTTAAAAATATAATGAAGCCTTGTTGTATGGAAATCAAGTGACTTGGCCACTGATTGAATTAAAAGATTCATAAGAGATTCAAAGCTTCATGAACCAGCATTTCAAAAGCATCTGGCACTTCATATAAGAGCTGCTGGCTCACCTGTGTTTGATTCCGGTCTTTTCTTGATCACACTGCCCCGTTCCAATCTGTGCTCTACTTTTCTATTAAAAAAAGAATAATGAAGTTTCTCATATACTGTTTAAACAATGTTATTTCATTCAAGTAAGTGCAGACAATTTGCTAGAAAAGATTAGGTGATTTATTAAAATGTCCAAGAAATTAAGTGAAAAAAGCCAATATCAGTGGCTCAGGAGATAAAAGCATTGTGTTGAGTTCAAATCCCACTGTTGCTTAGATTCAATTGTTGTCAAACTTCCCAAAACACCAGGATTCAGTGTGAGAGCCACGGTGGTGCAAGCGGCTAAACAGACATTCTCTGTCAATAAAGCTGTGATGAGGACAATGGTTCAAATCCCACTTCAGCATGTTGTGATTGTGATCACCCAACAGAGAGACTCTGCCAAAGCATTAGCTGGTTTATAGTAAAATCAAAGGTAAATGATGAAATACTGTATAAGTTCCTTCATATGCTTAGACAAAAGATCTGTGGCTCACTGGTAAGAGCACTGCCTCACGGTTCAGAGGTTGTTGGTTTGATCACAGCCAGATTCCTGTGGTGTGGGGGTGATTCAGAAAAAGTCTCTGCTTAAGCTTTAACTGGCTTATTGTAAAATCACATGCAGGTGAACAGTGAAATATAAGTTCCAGCATCTAGTCACACAAGAGATCTGTGGCTCACTGGTAAGAGCACTGTCTCACAGTTCAGAGGTTGCTGGTTCAATTCCAGCCAGAGCTCTGCGATATGAGTGAGTGCTGTGTGAATGAAGGGGTGAGGATGATTCGGGTCCCCCCTGAGTCCCAGAACGATGTCCAGCAGTGGTTATGCTTCTTGATGTTAAAAAAAAAAAAAAAATTAGCTGTCTAAAAATTTTGAACCTCCGCCCCTTCCCCACCCGTTTAGGTTACCATCATTTGCTTTCTAGAGGGGTGAGCCTCCAAAAAGAAAATGATGGTAACCTACATGCCAAGTACACAATAAAACACAAACACAAGTAATGTGTCCCGCCTGTCCATAAGCAGATGTCCTTCATTACAGCGAATGTCTGTCCACACATCCCAGAGCTCTGTGTGGTCCAAACACATCTCTTGTTCTGTAGGGGAAAGACATAATTTAAGAAATTACACAACATTGTACACATAGTTTTAGTTTTACAAACACTTATAATTTACATTTTGTAAATGTCTAGTTGGGACTTGAACACTTGTCTCTATCAAAGCCTTTCCCCCAAGAACATGAGTTGAGTCACTAGTGCCACTGTGGCTTTCAAACTGATAGCTGGCATTTTGTAAATTATGCCCATTCCACCTGTTTCTGCCAAATTGTTTATAGAATATGAATAGAAAGACACTATATATTTCATAATAATAATAATTATATATATAAATAATAAAAAAGAGGTTATTATTATTATTATTATTATATATTTCATAGACAGAGACGGCACAGTTAAAGAATCAAAGAAGATCTACAAAAAAACAGAACAAGATTAAATAACACATAAGAAAACGCTACACAATGAAAACCTTAATGGTCCAAACTAGTGTC